TCAAGTCCAACCATCAACCCAACACCACCACTAAACCACGTGCTGAAGTGCCACATCTACACCTTTTTTGAACACCAGGGACGGTGACTACATCACCTCCCTGGGCAGCCTGTTCTAGTGCTGGACCACTCTTTTCAGTAAATATTTTTTTCCTAATATCCAATCTAAACCTCCCCTGGTGCAACTTGAGGCCATATCCTCTTGTCCTATCTCTTGTTACCTGGGAGAAGAGACCAACACCCACCTTGCTACAACCTCCTTTCAGGGAATTGTAGAGAGGGATAAGGTCTCTCCTCAGCCTCCTCCAAACTGAACAACCCCAGCTCCCTCAGCTGCTCCTCCTACCACTTGTGCTCCAGACCCTTCACCAATTCCACCGCTCTTTTTTGGACATGCTCCAGTGCCTCAATGTCCTTGTAGTGAGCAGCCCCAAACTAAATACAGAACTTGAGGTGCAGCCTCAGCAGCGCTGAGTACAGGGACATGATCACTTCCTTACTCTTGCTGGGCCACACTATTCCTGATACAAGCCAGGATGCTGTTGGCCTAGGAGAACACTGTGGGAGACTGTAAAAGGCTTTACTAAAGTCCAGGCAGACAGCATCCACAGCCTTCCCTTCATCCACTAGGTGGGTCACCTGGTCATAGAAGGAGCTACCTACCTGCTTGCTCCTCTAGGAATCTTTCTCTTAGGCCCTATGTTGTATAGGGGACCTCAGCTTGGGGGTTGTGCTTCAGGTGAGCAGATTGCCCTGTTCAGAGCTGGAGTTCCTGGGATTCAAAAAGGAGGTATTGCAGCAGGTAGGGCAGCAGTCGGCAGTCATCGCTCTGGCTGCCTGCCCAGAAAATGACCCAAGCTGAGTGATGGTGTCAGAACAAGTCGGATCTTGGCTATGATGAAGAGGACTGGTGTTTTGTGTGCATGCTGCAGGGAATCAGTGCAGTGCGATAATCTGAAACCAGGGTGAGTGTACAGGGAAGAAATGAGACAGAGCATGAAAAACTAGGTACTGATGTGAATCTGTTCTTGCAAGTGCTCTGTATCCTTCCAGACAATATAATAAGTCAGTTTATTGGAAAGAAATCCCACCCTGTTTACAGCTTCTCCCTGTTCACAGCTTACGGTACTGCTGGTTTTAGAAAGGTGTTTGCTCTGAGGCTGAGCTTAGTTTGGACATACCCACTGGCAATTAGGGGAGGAGTGGGTGTATTGTAACTATTCCTGAGAATAAAACAAATTCTGAAATTACTTCCATGACAGCAGCTGAGCTCCATCAAGCGCTGCTTCCACAAGTATTTCCTCTGCGGTGCTCACGTTCCTTCATTACCTCTTTCCTGCATGAACTTTGTGGCCTACAAACAGACACATTTCCCCTTCCTTTTCCCAGAATAAGCCCTTACAGGAGTGGGTGGCATTTATGAAGTTAGCCTCTAACTTAGCTGACTGGCCTTTGCTAAGGTTTGTCTGTAGTTAACAGAGAGGTTCCTTCAGACATCGAGTGAAAGCACCTTACAGTTTAGGTCTTTAATCTTCATCTGGTGGGGTCACTCTTGCTTCACTGAATGCAAGAATTTAAAGAGATAAGCAGGCTAACACAGTCTGGTACCTAAACTTAGCAGTAAAAACACTTTCCCAGAAGCCATCTCTGAGCACTTTTTAGAGACCATATACTTGATTCCCTCATCTTCCTTCAATATCAGGCACTGGAGTGGGCTGCCCAGGGAAGCGGTGGGGTCACCATCCCTGGAGGTATTTAAAAGACGGGTACATGAGGTGGTTAGAGACATGGTTTAGTCGTGGAAAGGTTATGGCTAGACTCGATGATCTTAAAAATCTTTTCCAACCAAATGATTCTATGAAAGGGATTGTATGGAATGAAACATGCACCGAAATATGCACCTATCAGTCCTACCAGCCAGTCTTGCTGTGGAAGCAGCAGGGTCAATGTGCCAGTGGGTTTTCTCCAGGAGATTTTTAGCTCTTTTAGGCGGCTTTTCAGAACTCGGAGCAAATGAACTTTTTTTTATTTTCCTGAACGTTCACTTTTAGCCTTTTCAGCTCCCAGACCAATTATCTCCACTGTTCCTTTATGGTATAGAAAGCAGAGCTGAACATGTGGGCCCCTGTGATGTGATCCTTGGTACTGAAGGGCAGGAAGGGCAGCATGGTCTGCACTCTCTTGAAGCTGACGCTGGCTGGGGTGACTGCAAGGTGCCCTGAGGACAAACCCCGTTCAATCTCAGTGCAGTGAATGAAAACATAGTTATGCTCAGTTATCCACCTCTTTCTGTGCTGGAGGTTGCTGCTCCTACAGCAGAGGGAAAGCAGACCCGTACCTTGGCTGCTACATCGTGTAGACAATTTGAATTTAATGTGAAAAAGTGCCTGCACAAGGATGCCAAGGTGGAAACGAGACTGTCTAAATTGTGGGCACGGTAGGAATTCCAGCAGAGGTATATCATGAAACTAAGGACAGCGATGTCTTAACACACTGAAGCTGGACATGGGTCAGAGCTCTGGTATTGGTGTGTACTGCGACAAACCATGTCTGTTTTGCCCTCATCTAAAACTGGTTTGTTGGAAGTACAGAGCTGCCCGAGGTCTTCAGAGTTTGAAAGGAGCTTTAAAACGAGCTGTCTTGGCTAGCAGCTAATATAATTTCCTGAGCTATCATTCTCGTTATTTATGCCATGACAAATATCCCACAGGATACTACTTTTCCTAACTGGGTGCCAAACACCTTGCCAGGCTACAGCTAATATTAACAATGAAAAGTGAATCACATAGTTGAACAGCCACAGGAAAATGTGTGCAAGTCCTGCAATAAAGCCTTTTGGCTATTTTATTATTATTTTTTTAATTTTTTTTATTATTTTATTTTATTCTACAAATAAAGACAACTGTCCATCATTAAATGGAAAAAAATAATAGTTTGAGTTGTATATAGCATGAAACAGTAGTTCCCTTCACAAAAAACATTTCTAATTCATTAGTTTATTACAAAATATCCACTCACAAAAAAGCACAAGCACAATCTGTATACTTGTGAAATGAGTTGATATTTCATATACAAAATAATTTCCACATAATTCCATATAATTTTATTTTATATAGAAATAGGTCATTATTACAACAGCTGTACAATACACTACTTTTTATTTAATAATTACATAAAATCTTTCTTTAGAAACATATCAACAGAAAACATACAAAAAAAGCGAAAAGTGCATTTCTCTTTCCCCACCCCCAAAGGAAAATTCAATCCTAAATGTTATAATGAGAGAGATATGTAATAGTCTGCAGCATCCCGAGTCAGTGGGCCAAAACACAGTGCATATTCCTCAGAGACTTGCAGTGGGTGAGTTTAGTTTGAAGAAGGATCTGTGTTGTACTATTGGAAAGTTGCATGATTGTGCTTACAGTTTGAGTTCTCCTTTGCAATCACAATTCATATAGAAAACAGTCCAGTGTGGGTTGTAAGGTGGTGGGTTGGTTTTTTTATTTCTAGTCACGAAGAACAGTTAGGGTAAGCTGCATAATACTTCTCAGACTCTAAATCAAGGGTTATGAGCTGTAGACCATCTTCACCAATGTCTGGGCTTTCTCCTCCATTGGATGTGCTAATTTGGCCACGAGAATAAGGAAACAAGCTTCTCTTTACAGAAAGTGCCTAGGTTTTGTCCTCTGTGCAGTTGTGCAAAATAATAACAATAATCATAACAAAAATAATCTCTTGTTCTCTCCTCAATAGACCTTTGATGCAGTGCTTTTCATACACAAAAGAAGAACTGAAACAGTGAAGGCCAAGTACCTCATACGTCTGTCGACAGTCTTTTGGGATTGCCAGATAGCATTCAGAGTGACACGCCAAGATTGAACACCTCCTCCCGCGCACCCGTGGACGATGGAGGCCACACAGGATAGCATCCCTTTTCGGTTTTGCTCTGTCAGTACGTCCTGTGCTCACGAGACGGCGCAAACTGCACCCTGGGTGCCGTAAACGCACTGTCTGTGGCAGTCCGCACGCTGTGGCGTACTTCTGTCATAGAGCTTTGAAAGAAGTGCTTGTGCAAAAGCCAAACCAGTAAGTACCAAGTAATTCTCTTCCGCCCCATGTGCCCATTGGTTAAAGCTAATCGTGCATTGGTTGTGCTGGTGGGACTCTATCGCAGTGGCTGTGGTAAATTTGATGACTCTGATAAGCTATTGCTTCTTCGTGCTGTTAGTTGCTGCTGCTGCTGCTGCTGCTGTGTCTGATGATACCCCACATTTCCTTGCTGTGGCGAGTAAGATGGCAGAAGCAAAGAACTGGGTTGCTCATTGTGCAAAGAACTTGGTGTTTGCACCTACAGATAAAATAAAATTCATCGTGGCATTCGATTCTCTCACATCTTAAAGCTCTTCATCCTCAATGTATAAGGTGCTTAAAAATACTATGAGTTTGCTGGCTTTTCTTTCTGGGGCTGTTTGGCACGAGGTTAGCTTACCTAATGCTAGAAGGAATGGGCATTAATTGCAACAAAGAACACTACACTTAGGCACTGAGAAAGGTTTTCCAACTGGAATGCACTGCCTAGGATTTGCAGGTTACCTCAAAAAGCCCGTTTAGGAACAGGATGGCCAAACATGTCAGAAATGACACAGGTGGATGATAGAAATGAAACAGGGGATCCTAGCATAACTCATGCTGTCCCTTCCTCTTTGTGAGTTTACAGTAGGATGTAACCTTGCAGCAGTGAAGTCGATGCGAATTTTGCAGATGCTTTTATTGGGAATGGTATCTGCCAAAGTTTTTTCATTAAATCTCAGCTATGATAAGGATTTCATTTCAATAACAAGAGTTTAATAATCTGAGGTTGATGATTCTCTTTCAAAGATTCCAGTGGATATGTGAGGTTTTATAGTCTGAGTTCAGCTCCTTTTGAGTTAATACAGAGACACCTCATTTCCCCCCTTCCCCTTCACTTTAGTATGTGTTGAATTAGGTCAAAAAATAAGTATTTTTACATCTTCATATCACCTGGTTCTTCCAGGCAATGTGCTCCAGTTTATCTTCTTTGCCTTGTGGAGTTGAAGAAATATGGTAAATTACTGAAGGGATCCAGATATCTGATCCAGATCTCATTTTATGTTGACGCTGGTAATTAAAAATCATCTTTTGACTTGTAAACTAAGCAAATTTTATACTGAATAAGGAGTACAGAATAAATCCTAAGGCAGCAATTTTCTCCATCTAGAAATACACTTTAAATATATCCAGGATAATCTGATTATGTTTCCAATGCACAGACTTAGTAATTTCCTTTGAAATATTCTGACTGTTCTCACTGCTCCCTTGCTATATGACAGTGTATCAGTGTCTTGCACATTTCAGTATCTCTGAAATGGCCAATTCTGCCACGATCAGGCTCTTGCCGAAACCCAGGGCCCAATTTGTGCAGCCTGTTCACCTTATTACTCTGCATGTACATTTTATACATTGTCCTCTTTGTCCTACCCTACCTGCAGGTAGCGTTGTTGCTGATGCTGTTGGTGCTGGAGTTGCATAGGTGGCAGAGAGGATGGCTGGGAAGGAGGTGTTGTGGCGAACCCTTGGTTTAACACTGCTTGTCCCATCAGTACAATCGGGGGGCCACTGCTGGAAGTCTGCACTTCCAAACTCTGAAACATTTGTTGGGTTTGAGAGTACCTGTGGAAGAAAGAAGTAAAACAATCAAGAACAAATTGTTGGAAGTAAAGTAGTATAGGGGTGGAGGTCCCTAGTCTTCATAAGTAATTTGCAGAATCACAGAACCACAGAATCACAGAATGTTAGGAGTTGGAAGGGACCTCGAAAGATCATCCAGCCCAACCCCCCTGCCAGAGCAGGATCACCTAGACTAGGTCACACAGGAACGCGTCCAGGTGGGTTTTGAATTGTCTCCTTCTCTCTCCTTTGAGTGAAGGAGACTCCACAACCTCCCTGGGCAGCCCGGTCCAGTGCTCTGTAACCCTCACAGTAAAAAAGTTTTTCCTCATGTTCAGGTTGAGCCTCCTATGCTCCAGCTTGCACCCATTGCCCCTTGTCCTGTCATTGGCTGTCACTGAGAAGAGCCTGGCTCCTTCCTCCTGACACTCGCCCTTTACAAATTGATAAACATGAATGAGGTCACCCCTCAGTCTCCTCTTCTCCAAGCTAAGGAGACCCAGCTCCCTCAGCCGCTCCTCATAAGGGAGATGCTCCACTCCCTTATAAAATAAAATATAAATTCCTAATAAAGGATTCCAGCACGTGGGGCCTGCCGATAGGAATGACAGCACTGTCGACAGCGCTGTTTTGCCTTACCCTGCATGAGCTGGACTTGGAGGCCAGCACACATCTCACCTCCAAATCCAGACCACGTTTTAGATTCATTAAAGATTCTGGTTTATGCACGTCTGCTCTTCAGCCACAGCAGTCGCATCCCAGGTTCATTAAACCAAATGGCCTTTGATTCTGATTTCATATGCTGAGCTCTGAACTGGAGCTGCAGCAAAGTAAATACACCTCCCGTTCTGCTGCCCGCGCTTCCCTGCGCCTGCCTGTGGGGGTGGTAATCTCCTGCAGAAAGATGGCTGGGGTTGATTACTTCTAAAGCTGCTCATACACATATTGCCAAGTATGGTCAGCAGTTCCCATTGCTGTGAGCCACATGGTAGGAATGGAAGAAGCCTCTGAAAGTCCTCTAGAGTGAGTGATGGGCCAGAAATGAAATACGCAACTCCTCTTGCCAGTCTGCTTTTGCCTAGCAAAACTTAAATATGTGCTGTTCTGTGGAAGGCTGTGGGCAAAACCACAATGGAGCTATTGCCAGCCCAGCCTAATTCTGTTTATCCTGTGATGGGTGATGAGATCATGGTGTGGCGTGTGTTCGCTCCACAGCTGTTCAACATTAGGGGTTAGTCAGAAATGCTATGGCTTGGGGACTTGTACTAGGATGTGAGCTCAAAAACAAAAGGGTCCTGTGAGACAAGAAGTCTACTTGAACTGGGAGAAGAATCTTTGCAAATCAAGCCTCTTTTATTTAGGTGCTTAAAAGCAGATCTAAAATGCTGTATATTTAAAGTCAAAAAGTTTAACTCAAGATAATCTTAAACAGCAATAGCGATGTTTAAAAAAAAAAGTACTGAATCCCTACATTGCTGAGGATACATAAAGAATTACTTTTAAAGTAATGATATGCAAGCAGTTGGCTCTTATTTTAGCAGTTCACAATTAATTACAGTGACAAAAAATGGCTAGGGGAAAAAAAAGCATATTATGACTGATGTTTGCTGGTTTCCTTCATCTAAGTTTTGAGGAGACAAACAGCTGAGATGCTTTGTTTAGCAGCTTTTCTGAGAGACTGCTCAGGTGCAGGGCTTCGTTTGATTCTCTCAGTTCTGCTGGGGTAGATGGGGCATAGCTTCCCTGGCGTTACGGCAGCATCTCGCTGCCCAGCGAGCAGGAGCTTCCAGTCACTTCAACTGGGCCAGTGCTGACTTTATCTCTCACATTTACCGTGGTGGGTCAGCAGTTCCAGCAGGGAAACAACCATCATGTGAGGGAGAAAAATTCCCTCAGCCTTTGGCTTGTTGAAACGCCACTGGCACGTTGTGTTTCTCTCTGTCATCCTTCCTGATGTGACCAGGCAGGGTAAGGCTGACCCTGACACTGGAAGGCAGGCTCAGCACAGTGACATGTTCCCGATATTTATAACTCCTTCGTCATCTTACTAAAGAAGGCTATTTCGCCTCAAAAGCAATGATGTTTTATTTTTGACAAGTCACATACTTAGCCTGGGATCCCGCCATGCTGAGGTCTGAAGGGTGTCTTGCATTACAGGACCCAGGCATCATGGGTTGAATAGGCTGGCTGAGCAACAGTCTGGCACAAGGGAAAAAGGAAAAGTGACATTGCTGTAACCGAAGGATGACACAAATCCCACATTTTGAAAACAGAGACAGGATGCTTTTGCAGGCATGGCACAAGGCTGAGCGCTAGATCTAAGCTCAGCTCTCGGCCATGGCAGGTGGGTGCTGTGCACTGGGAGATGGGGATCTGGTAATGTGGGTGCCTTGCTGAGAGGCTGGGTGTCAGGATTTCAGGAGAGTGACTTCTTTTTTTTTCTCCTGCTGGCACGAATGGCTTGTTTTTGAGCTGTCTAAGCATCAGACTGTAATTTTTTTGGTTCTTAGGTCTAGTTGGATGCCAAGGTGGATGTGCCACCTCCCACCCAGAGGACCGTGAGACAAGTGAAAGCAGAGACATC